CTGACAGCCCTACCTGATATTAATGGATTATCTTGCGTAGCCCGTTTGGGAGAACAAAGTCTGTTCTCAGTGCGCTGTCCAATCGTTGAGAGACTTTCATAATTGAGGGGAGGAGGGAGGAGTCCCTCCTCCCCTCAATTATGAAAGTCTCTCAACGATTGGACAGCGCACTGAGAACAGACTTTGTTCTCCCAAACGGGCTACGCAAGATAATCCATTAATATCAGGTAGGGCTGTTAGAGAGGAAAAACCAAAAGCCTTGATGAAAAGGGTCACAGTGCCCTGGAGCCCTTGGTGGTTAACGTAGGCTAAGAGGAACTAGCGAAAGTATCAGCAGTGCAAGCCCCTACCCACCTCTTTCAAACCCACAATTATTATTACATGCGCCACGATATGATCTTCTAAACACATGGGGAGGGGTTCCTCTGAGATTAGCACCTTCACCGCAGTTTTTCCCTTCCTTTCCCAGTGAACCGAAATTTGAAAAAACGTTTGGATATAACATATGAGAGAAGAACGTATTCGGTTCAAGGTCAAAAATTGTCCACGATAGCATCACGAAACTCTAGGGGGGCAGTGACGTCACCGTCTTTTGGTTCATCGGCTCAAATCCGAGAGAAAACTACGTAGTTTCTAAGACTCAAAATGCAACTATTGCTGTGATGATCGAGGGGAGGGGGAAAGGGAGGAATCTTGCTTTTTCTACTTTATTTTGCTAGTCCAGGTCAAATTATTCTGATAAGACCTCGAAATTCTTGTTAAAATAAAAAAGCTTACTATTCCACAGCTCTGCAGAAGTTTACAGGTCTCTACAGGAGCAATGAGCAGTGAACGATGGGAACCATCAAAATGCCCCGCTATGCCGAACGGCGGTGCCAATGCTAGTTCGAAAACATACCGAACTGTTAAGTGATCGCGTATATTGCAATGGTCGCTCAAAAGTGCTAAATTTGTAGCTACCATAACCTTGGGAGCACTTACTTGGTTTTTGAGGATACTTTTACACCATTTGCCTTTTAAGCTTAACAAATTCCAAACAAAAAGTCCTAGAGAGAATGAAAAAAGACATAAAAAAAGGCGAACAAATTTAGGATTCTGAATACCTTGTACCACTTCCTTCATCGGCTATTGGATTCGTACAGGAAGTAAAGTTTGCCCATATCGATCGATTCCTGTAGATCTTGGAAGACCGCAATCCGCCATTTTCCATACGTTGAGTCAAGAGGATGAGGTTGTTGACCCCAATTGACAGTAATATCTTCTGTATTCACTTGCATGCCTAAATTCTGGAAATCTTTTGATTGAACTAGTACCCTATTTTCTGTGGTGCAACGGTATAAGGCGCATTTCGAAAGTCGCACGCGACAACCCTTGCTAAATTTTGGTAAACTTAGTAATAGTTTTCCCGCCTTTTTCGCAGAGTTATCTTCCAAATGGTTTTCAAAAAAACTCTTATTAAACAGATCATTAAGATGGATTAAAAGAAACAAAACAAAATGAACGAAAAAAAGGTTAGGACCGCCCAAAGCGAACGTGCTCCTTTTAAGTGGGGTGGGCCTTATACTCCAGAAAATAGGGTAAATAGGGTCACTCAAAGGGCTATGCAACGAAAACATTTCACAACAAAAACACGTCATAAATGACGCGGCGCAAGTTTCTGATCAAAGAGAATTTCAAAAGAGAATCAATGCATGGTAGCGAAACGGCCAATGCCGCCCCAACCAGTTCTCACCCTTGACGCGCCCATTGGATTAATCGCCGTTGCTTAGTCACGTAACCAATACCAAATTGTATCAACAATAACAATGTCTAATATTTAATATCATGAGCTTATGAACCCATCAATAAATTACTAGTTGCGTTCCTTATAAATACTTTATAAATTACATTCTTCACAACACTTTTGCAACTACCCGACCAGAAGTGATTAAAGCAATAACTGTGGCGTACACACTCAAACACAAAGTAAATCAGTTAAATTAGGAGATACACGTGGCAAAATATCGCATCACTTCTATAAGACTAAAATAGTATACTCTGACAAGAACTTCTGCAAATCTCGTAACGAGTACCTAAAAGCAGAGGGCATGATGAATGGGGGCGGGCGGCTGCTGCTAATGTCATTGGTGAAAGAGCTGCGAGAGGGTGTTTGGCTACATCCCATTCAACCCTTCAACCAGTGACGTTGGCGCGACCGCCCGTCTCAGCCATCGTGCCCACTGCCTTTAAACTATTTATAAGATTAACGTAACTACTCCTTACAAAACATTAATAGTGACGCTTCAAATAGGAACTCCTAACGCTGTTCAGTACAGTAAGTTTTCATTGTAGAACAGTTAAAGATGGTCCAAGATGGTCAGAGCGCAGAATGAAGCAGCTGTTCGACAACGAAATAGAAAAAAGAGGAGCAGAACATTGGCTAGAATGGAATGACTGTGAAATATACATATGCAAATTTATACATTTTGAACAAAAATGTCAAAAACGAGTAAACAAAGATGGCTGAGGACACCTTAACTAAGCAAAAAACCGTACATCAAACTGAAGTTATTAATTTGCAGGAAAACTGATTTCAGTTGACTCTGAATCCGATAGTGGACGGAGAGCAAAAATGGCTGTCTTCACTGCTTTTGCACACTCACCGGCTTTGGGAACAAGGAACCTGAAATTAGTTATACTTACCGAAGTGGAAAGTTAGATTACTCCAGGAATACTCTTTAGTAGTACGACAATGCCACGGGATTCCTATTCAAACACTACGGATGAATAATAAAACACATTCGATCGGTAGATCGATTAGCTGTAGTCGACAACAACAAGCTACTTACAAGGGAGGTATTTCAGGTCATACTTACAAGGGAGGTATTTCAGGTCATGGCGCGCTTTTTGGAAATGGTTTGTTGCTTGTTGTAGGGGTCCATACAAGGGTCACAAAAATGGGTTTCATTTTTGCTATGCGTTTCTGGGTAGGTCAAAAACTGAGTGAAAAGAATTTGACAGGAATGGGCGGTTTTAACAATGTTAATGGGCTCCGTTCTGCTTGTAACTTCGAGCATGCATAGTTTATGAGGTGGTCACTAATTAGGCCTCAAAATAGATTCGATTAAAGTCAAAATGTAAGTATCATGTGGTAACATTGGCATGCATCGACGCAAGAGTGATGTTTTTGTCAGCGCTCCCTTCATGAACATTGCTGGTGGATCGGATGGGATAGCACGATGGATTCTGGATGGCAAGACAATGCGGGACTCGGTTTGGATCCTTATTGCGGCAACAGTTTTGCATCTGTATCAACGCAACGAGACGTGAACATTTCCGGAAACAAGGTTTTCCACGCAACTATGCTGGTTTGTAAGGTGTCATCCAGGAAAGGCCACCAGGACAACCTGGCCATTTGCAGTGAGTGCATATCATTGTACTCGTCTTAACACAGTGAACTCGAAACTACCTTCAAAATTTGCGGAACGATTCTCTGAGCGGAGTTATGGAGGTTTCCTTCACTGTTTTTCTTCTTGCGGGTGGGCTGGCGCAGTGAATTTGCACCTGTAGCGCGACTCACAGCTCTCTCCGTGCGAAATAGATATCATATTCGTGTTCAGGGGGGGGGGTCAAACAACTCCAAGAAAAGCCACCTTGAGGAAATCCGAGGTTCTGACTCAACTTCGAAAAAATGGGGTAGAGATGGTCACGCCTGGATGATAGCCAATACTCCGACTAGCATACTGGTGATGACTGGTCTATGCACTGAAACTGAATATAACCCTTTCAGTCATGTCTTTTCGCAAAGAACAATACCTGGCTCACTTGTTCGTGCCGCCTGCATCATTTTCCTGATTACCGGTAGAAAATTCCATCCCAAGACCAGTCATCCATGGTGGGTGGACCCAGCCTGCTGCTAATTGTCCATAGAATGGCCCACATTTTCCAAGTTAGGTCGAAACGTCAGATTTGGTTAGAAATTAGTCCCCAGGGGTAATCCTTAATAGTCCCCAGGGGTAATCCAACCCGCTGAACATAAATGTGATGGTATTTCATTGCAATAACCCTTCTGACATGAGCTACGAGGGGCAGCACAAGCACGCTTTCAGGCCACAATGTGGCCACAAGTATATGCCTTCAAATGGCATATACTTGACTTATTTCCACTGCCAGACACACAGGCACGCGAATGAATGGAAAGCTGAAAAATGCAAAACATTTCCGCGAGGAGGATCCGATCCACAAAGTCCCCCTTGCCGTGCCATCCAGAACCCGTCGTGTTATCCACTGCGCCATCCGATCCGCTGGCAGTGGTCGTGAAGGGTTCGCTGACAAAAACACCACTTGCGTCGATGCATGCCAAGTGTGTTACCACATGATACTTACATTTTGACTTTAATCGAATCTTTGAGGCCTAATTAGTGACCACCTCATAAACTATGCATGCTCGAAGTTACAAGCAGAACGGAGCCCATTAAGGTTGTTAAAACCGCCCATTCTTGTCAAATTCTTTTCACTCAGTTTTTGACCTACCCAGAAACGCATAGCAAAAATGAAACCCATTTTTGTGACCCTTGTATGGACCCCTACAACAAGCAACAAACCATTTCCAAAAAGCGCGCCATGACCTGAAACACCTCCCTTGTTAGGCTGCGCATAACTTTGCGACGCGGGCGTGTTGGAAGAATCAGCGTTTTGAGCGAATAGGAATTTTGAGCGAAAAGGAAAGTAAAGGGGTCGATTGGCGCCCAAAATGCCGCTCAGAATGTTGATTCTCCCAAAGCATTGAGTTGCAAACACAGTTAAGGGTGGGGGGGGGGGTTGTTGCCCGCGTCATTGGTGGAGGGCGGTGAGAGGGTGTTCGGCCACACCCCACTCATCCCTTCCACCGATGACGAGCCGCCGCTCCCAGCGATCGCGCTCAATGCCTTCGAGGTTTTTGTAGCAGGAAAGGCGTACTACGTAGAGACTGAGCAGTTTGTAGGCCCCTCCAAGAGCTACAAACTCCGCTAAAAGTGGATCAATAAAATGGGCAGGTACAATTGTGATGACAGCCATGCGCTTAATACCCATACATGAAGACCACACCCTTGACGGACTTACTTAGAAACTAAATTACCCAAACTTTTCGTAGCAGAGCCACTTATAGGGAGCATAGCCGAGGCTGACCAAAAGGGATCACCCCAGCGCAGTCCATCACGCTACGAGTAGCATGCAAGCCAACGTCACAGGTGCTTATCTGCACTCTATCGCCGAGACCGCAGGACATATTTTAGCATGGTTTAGTTGACGTCAGTACACGCCACTACCTCAATGCACCATCCCCCTCGACAGCACGATGTGGTTTTGCCGCGCTTAGCATGTCATGTCCGCCAGCTCCACACGGTTACGCGACTACTTGAACTTTCAATTCTATTGGAAAAACCTGTAACGGAGACTGCTAAGGCTGCAATCATATTTTGCGGCAGCGTCCAGCAGCGACCGATAGCGTCCACCAGCGTTCTGAGCACTCCGCAGCGTCCAGGAAAGTGTAGGCATCTATCTAGTGTCTGCCAGCGTCCACCAGCGACCAGCAGCGTCTCGTCTAGAGTATGGGAAGATACGAGGGTAGCAGATGGTTCGTAGAGAATATGGCGTGATAGGAGGGTAGCAGACAGCTGGTAACCTCCTATCATCCCATACTCTCTACCAGTCTGCTGTTGGTCGCTGGTAGACGCTGACAGACGCTAGGTCGTTACCTATACTTTCCTAGTCGCTGACCCTACCGGGCGCTAGAAACACTGATGGACTCTATTGGTTTGGTAGACGCTGCTGCAAGAGATGAACACAGTCTGAAAGACAACTTCAAAGCATCGAAGGGTGCAAAAAACGTATATCTAGCCAGAAAATGGGCTTTTTCAAGAGAGAGGGGGTTTCGGGTGAGCCACTCATTATGCGTGAAAAAGTGGGATGTCTAAGATAACAGTAGCCACAGAACACCATAGAAGGGAAATGGTGCGGCTTGTAGAAAGAAAGCCGACATTGTTAAAAGGATTGAGTTGAAGTAGTTCGTAGCCGCTCCCCTTCCTTCCACACTCATGGCATGACGCAGTAAAGTTATCTGTGAACGCGGCTTTATAGCGTCAGAATATGACATGACTAAGCCCTGCTGGGGGGTGCCCCTTCTTCCCCCCCCCCCACGCCCGAAGCACACAGCGTCAAAATGAGAATAATTTGCAAAAGAACACGTACCTATGCACAGCTGTGATCTTTGAAACACCACTGATTTCGTAACCAAATTTGAAGGTCAGCAGTTCTGGGACTTTCTTCTTGCTGGTGACGCGAAGAATGGACGACAGGGCATGTCGAGCTTCGGTAGTAACGTAACCTGCCTGCAAAACTCTGTTGACGAATCAGGAAATTAAAACAGCAGTGGGTGATGGGGCGCCGCTTGACCTAGGGGTGGCATTTGCATTCCGAGCAGTTTCGGTTATTGGTCCCTGTCAAATAAAACATCGCAGTAACTTCGGTAATACCCGTGAGCTCTAGTCACGCGTAAAGAAGCTAAGCTATTGCTTCACAAGAATTTGCAGATCTATATGGGAGGCGTCGTCAGTGATTGATGAAAACAGCAAAATGTCCCCTCCAAGCAGACCTGCGCCGTTGATGATCTCCAAAAGGGAAAAGACTGCAGAGGTTGTTGCACACTCAGCTCTGTGACGCGAAGGGCACGATTTCTGGAGGCGGGCGGTTATTGGCAGCCTCACTGGTGGAAGAGCTGAAGGAGGGAGTCTTCCCAAAATGCCTTTTTGAGGGTGGGGCCAACGCCCTTGAACCAATGACGCTGGCAGCAACCGCCCACCTCTAGCAATCAAGCCCACTGCCTTTAAATTGGATCAGATATTTTGTTGACCTTTTATAAAATATCAGTTAACTGTTTGTGCAGTCAAGAGAGGAGCATATCGAGTCAAAGAAAATCCATGGCTTACCTTTCCATCCACATCTCGTAGCACATGCATGTGGGTACGTGTGATAGCAATATGAGATGGAATCATCATTTTGTTTTCTGCTAATTCATGACATTGAAAATGCTCGATGAATTCAGCTTGTTCACTCAGAAGAAGCTTAAAGGGAGCATGAGGTACAGTTGTATGGAGTATAGAAGGCAGGAACCAAACTAAACAGTTATTTCGAAAGGCTTACCTCTTCTTTACCCCCTGTCTTGTTGAATAGTGTGCCACCACTTTCATCACTCGAATCGTCATCGATTGAAAATACAGACGGCTCGTTGCGATATCTATAAAAGCAGTTCCTCCTTCTGATCAAACAATCATTTCAATGATTCATGAGATCGAGATTACGTAACTGCCCTCATGTTTTATGTAGACACCCCCAATTGTTACCAGGCCTCGTCCTGCCGTTAGGAGAGGGGGAGCAATTTTTCACCAAGTACGACCCCACCACTCGAAACTTCTTTTTATGGCACAGCGCCCCATCCCTTCCCATCTCCCATACTATTCACCATGTTCCTATAATTTCTTAACTTCCTCCAACTTTTCCAGAGTTTCTTCCAAAAGTCCCTCCATTTTATCCCAAAAAAAATAGCGACCGCAAGGGGTGGAGGGTGGAAGGAACTTATGAGCTTAGCTGAAACAAGAAAAACCGAGAAAAAGCCTAAAACCGAAAGCATATTGAAAAAAAAATCTTCCTCAAATGAAAATACGACCACTCCCGGGGATCTGGACATACGACGTGATGTGATCCCTCTATAGCTTCGCTGACTTCCAGTGAAGGGTATGTCAGCCAGGATAAGCTTGACCTGGCGCCAAACCCGTTGCATTGCGTGTTGAAGCGAGTAGGCGACAAGACTGTATCGTATCAGTTGTTTTCCACCAATAGTTGTCTATTAACTGCTTCAAGAACTAAAGGAGAATGGATTCGGCGCCCTGTCAAACGCATCTCATCTAACACGCTCCTTCATCCGCAGCGAACAAGACTGAAAACGGTTTCGTCTGCCTGTCTGTCTGTTCGGAATTCGGCATCAGCTGAAGAGCCAGCCAGTCTGAGGGGCTTTGTCAAGGGTGGGATGGGTAGGACGCGGGCCAACATGTGCAGAAGTATAGCCATGACCTCATCAAAAGATAGGCGTGTGACGCGGCGCGTATTGGAGCGCAGCCAGGGCGGCCCTTGTCCAACCATGATGCCATCTGAGCCCGCTGCTATTGGTGGAAATTGCCGTAGCTGCACTGCAAGCTACGCTCCAGTCACAAGCCCTATCGTTTGCAAGGATCATGACTGTACAGGGGGGCAAAAAAAGTCACTTTTTTCCTTGACTTTCGAGGCGCTATAAGTTACACTTTATTAAATTCTGATCGGACATTTTCACCACCATCTTGAAGAGCATATTAAATACTATCATGACACTCCGCCATAGCCTTCTGGACGAGCGCCATCGTGAGATTCTGGCACGCGACCGCAATGTGGTGCCTGAGATCAGCGAGATAGTCGATTTCTCCGCCACCGTAGACCACCCTATTGAACTCCGCCCAACCCGGGTAATTGAGGGAGTTCAGGTCAGGTGACCTACTTGGATATTCCATCTCCTTTAGGTACTCAACGCCCTTCCATTCCAAGTAGGCGAGAGTTTCTCCAACGCCCTTCGATTCCATGTGCTGTAGCAGTACAAAGTTTCCAAGAAGGTACGGGCGACGACATGTGGGGAGGATATTCTTCTCGAGTTGCTCGATGTAACGCTCACCTTCAGTCCGGGGTCCACGAAGAAAATATTGGTCTTTCCATTCCAGGTACGTCCGGTCCATACCATCAACCCGCGCCTTGGCGACTGGTGAAGATGATGTCCTAGACCGTAGCGACGTTGTCGGAGCTGCTCGATGTTGGAGGTCTTCCAGATCGAGAGTACTGGTCTCCAGGTAGCTATCCATGGGTGACTCCATACTAGAAGTTTCGCAGCTGTTTGGAGGTGACGTGAATTCCAAAGGTCTTCTCCAGTCAGGCTGCGACTGGAGATGACTTCATATTTTGGTGTACATGAAGGTGATGGGCGAGAGCCAGCTCCTGCTTATCGAGGAACATCTTGGGTATCTTCCGCCCTGGTATCACGTCTTCTGTCTAGGGCAGCGAAAATTTGCTGATTGTGACTCGATCAAAGTGACTTTTTTTATTGCCTCCCCGCCAGTACGCAAGCGTGGACGTTTTGAACGGAACCAAAAACAGAAATGTCTGAAAGCATACGAGGAACACTACAATGCTCAAGCTACATGCATAGCCACCATCAAAGAGCGTCCTATAAATCCGTCCAAAAATGTGAGCACAGCGGAAGTAAAAAAATATAGGAGTATATAAGCTAAGTTACCTTTTCCCATAACGATCCGACGACAACACGTGTTTGACCTCACTGCTCGGAGCGTTTCCGGGAGCTGCTTGTGTCACCAACTCGCTCACCTTATCTTTCACAGCGGCTGACTTAGAAATCACAACTTCTTTCATTTTTCCCATTATCTTCTGAAAAGTACAACTTCTCTCAGCTGAAGGGAGTTCCAAATCTTGATAGCAGCTATGTTCTTTACCTACCCAGCTCTTGCCAACAGATGCGTTTCCACATTCTCTACATTTGGATTCATCATGAGAGTTGATGAGACGTAGGCGGTTCGATTCCGACAGAACATTGTGAAGACCTTAATTAAGCCTGCTTTACGATCCGCACCCTTAAAGCACGCCAAGCGTTCACTGAATGTTCATGCAGACGTGATAGTAAAAAAATGCAGGATGTACCATTTTCGCAACTCAGAAATACGTGAGGAAAGCGCGGCCCACTAGCAAACCGCTGCCCCGCCCCGCCCACTAACCATGGCGACGCCCAACTTTCATTTTTGATTGCTATCTAAAGGTGCGTGTTTCGCTACTAACTTTCTCAATTTTGTGAAAGCGAGGTGATAAAAGGAGCTGACATCGGTGAGTGAGAATTCGTCCGACTACTCCTTAGTTCGCCTAATGCACATACCAACGCGATTCAGCATGGGGTTCTATATATGGCATTTCGAGCAGCTTTTCAATGCCTTTCTCTTCACTCCCATGTGGCTCACCATCTTAGCGTTTGTTTACGAGCCGCACAAATCACCAATCTTCAACGCAGGGCGTGTCTTGAACTTAGAATGGACGTACCTCTATAACCACCCTGCGCAAAGGTGACATGACTCTTGCCATCACGAAGGAATCGAGCAATCACCATATTCATAAACTGGTCCTGAAGCGACAAATATCTTGAAAGATATAAATAAATGAAGCAGTAGCGTCCGAAAGGCTCAGCTGTTCAAAACTAACCTCGTCCTCATCGCCATAACCAAAGAAGCAAATATGCTCCTCAAACTTCTGCTCGTTTTTGTACGATTCAAGACAAGTCAAAGCCATCTCGAACTGACTCGGCGCATCCACCAACTATAACAGAGCCATCTAGACAACGTTTCATGATAATTTACAAATCACAAACTACTGGTATTCCTGAGAAAACAGGTCATTTCTAGAAGAGAGAGAAGTCGCTAAATGGACTTAATCACGTAGAACAACGGTTCATAAAAATCGCAATCGGTGAGCGGCCGCTATACAGAAGGATAGAATTAGCCACCCGCGGAGTTTCCGCCAATGATTCTTTTCTTCCCAAAACGATCACTAAGTGATCACCATTGGTACAGGAGGGCTACAGGCGGTGAGCCTTGACACCATCCTCGCCTGATTGGTGACGCTATCAACTGCACCACCGGGTATAGTTCAGGGCGTCCGAATCCCGGCAGCACAGGCAAACTAGCAGATTATTCCCTTCTTGTTGACTGAACACACGGCGGGGCTGGGCGGGCCGTCAAGTGATTAATGTTGGCGACGGAAGTTGGGCTTACTTTGTTTTCGATTTTTATTTACAAATGACTCATCAACGCCTTCATCAAATTCTAGCCTCTTTACGAGTTTGCAGCGATTTTATTTAGGACTACCTTTCTACTCCATTGCGTTCGTCAGAGCCTGAAATAAACAACAAACTCGCGAGACTTACCCAATTCACATTCACATTCCGACTTCACAGTTCAAAAGAATGGTCCACGATGAAATGTGGTCTGCTCTGAACAACTGCACCATGTCCTGGGCTCAAGGTTGAAAGGAAAAGGTGCGAAGGCGAAAAGTGCTCCGCTGACACTCCCTCTTCCCAGGGACTCCGCCCTCGCCCTTGAGGTTTACCTCCCATCTTCTTCTTCACCTTCCAGCTGTTCTCTTCCATGTTTCAACACCTCTACCTACCCTCCCTATCGCGAACCGTGCCTTCAACAGTCTTTAGGACAATTTGTGGTCGACACAGCACAGCGACGACGTCAGAGAACAAGGGGAGCCACACTATGTCGATCGTTGCTGTTGAATGCTCTATTAGACCACTTAAAGGCAGTTGGCACGACAAATCCCCCAAGACGACTAGGATCAATACTCCTGGCAGGATAGAATTCCGCGACCCTGGGCAGGCGCTGCATAGCGGTTTCCCCGAGAAAGGTGCCCTTATAAGGGCCCTATCAAGCCACAACTTTACGTCCCAAAAGCCCGCCCGCCCACAAATGGACGACCGTTCCTGACGCTCTACTCCATTCATTTGCTGCGCAAATTATGAAGCGAAGGGAATGTTATGAAGCGGCCGTGATTGCTTGCATGCATTACATGGTACAGTCGTCATCCTTGCACTTGATAGTCAATGTCAGTGCGGCTGCGTGCGGCGCGGTCGTCAGCACCCGTACTGCACCAATCGTTGAACCAGAGAGTGACATTACTGTATTATATCCTTCGTGTTACTCGTTTTCTATCACTTTTTGTCGCATACGCGTTTCAACGAAAAGGCTGAGAAGGCTTCAAACAGTGTGCACGCTCCTTCTCGCCGACACGCCCCTATCAAGTGCAAGGATGACGACTGTACACACATGCAGCCAAATCTTCGGTAGCGGTGATTGGTAAGATGCGTACGGGAAACTCGTCCGGATTTTACAAGTCACTGAGAACGGAGGCTTTTTTCGCCAGGATTTTGACCGTTTCACTCCGTTCTTTCGCCATTTCCCCACTATACAGCGCCCTACTAGCATTTTAGGCTAACAAGGGAAGGATACCAACTCGTCCTGGCCATTCAGAATGAGATGTATACTCCTAGAAGCGTCTTCGGACGCTGATATCAAATCTGGCTTCCAAATCTGCTAAACGATTCTGGGTGAGGAGTTACGGACCTTTTTTGCTACTGTGCTTAACCATTGCGGTGCGCCCCCTGCTTATGCTTCGCGCTTGTAAACCCTTCGTGACCCAACCGACATCGCTGGCCTCGGTGTGCCGCGCAGTTAGGTGAAGTGGGTGGACTCATGGTCGTGCGATGGGGGTTCGTGTCCTTGATGCGTTTCGTAGTTTTGCTTTTTCTTGAAACGTGCGCTCAACACTTGGGAAGTAGTTTTGCATACCTGTACGACCACCAAGACCCCTCCCTGCTGCTTATTAGACCCTATGTCTGATTTTTGAGAGGGGTTTCATTTTGACTTCAGTGAAAGCATTCATTTTCATAGTGTTGGTTTTTTAACGCATATATTTTTGTAATTAATGCGACTTTTTTCACTCGAACGGTAGAAGGCAATGGCTTCATTCACTTAAACCACACGCATACTTGATATGGACTTGTATAAAGTGAAGTGGGCAATGGGTACAAGCGAACTACCTTCTCTATCGGGACCTTTACATCCCCAAAGTGACGTAGCTGTTCTTCTAGCTCCTAGGGAACTTTCTTCATCGCCATCACACGTGATCAGAGAGGATCCGTATTGTCGTCCTCTACGAGCTATCTTCCTCGCAGTCAATTGCAAGGTTGTCGTACAGTGTGTCGACAACCTCGTAATTGACATTGACACTCATTCGTACCCCAGAAAACTCAAAAAAACCTTTTTCGCTGAAACGTTGCCTATAGGTGTAATTCGATGCCCAGATCACGAATATCACATTCGTTTCGAGCGCTGGCGTCATTTGGCGCCATTATGCGCCAATTTGGCGCCATATTGGCGCATCATGGCGCCAAATCGCGCCAGCGCTGGAAACCTGTGTGATATTCGTAATCAGGACCTCAATTAACCCCCATATGCAAGTTTTCATCAACTTTGGGAAAAAAGTGGTGGGCGCCAAATTGGTGCATAATGGCGCCAAATGACGCCAGCGCTCGAAACGAGGGTTAAAACCGTGATCAGGGCATAGAATTGCATCTGTAGACAACGTTTCAGCGAGAAAATTTTTTTGAGCTTTCTGGGGTAGGAGTAGGTTCAACAGTGCCTAATATTACTTTAGTTATGGTAGGCACGGTCGCAGAGGTGTTGGCTGATATTGTGTGCGTGGGTGATTAGAGCTACCGAACATGTTGAAATCTTTCGTTGCCCACACACGTCATTTTATAGGATGGTGAAATTTCGCAGATCACGTACTTCAGGCAGATATGCATGTGTATTTGGTCCCTTGCATGAACGAGTTAGGTAGAAGTGTAATTTTTCACGAAAATCGTTCGCGGGGCTCAATAAAGAGCAGGGAGTTGTCTTGGTGGTCGGACAGGTATGCAAAACTACTTCCCAAGTGTTGAGCGCACGTTTCAAGAAAAAGCAAAACTACGAAACGCATCAAGGACTCGAACCCCCATCGCACGACTGTGAGTCCATCCACTTACCTACTGCGCCACCGAGCCACGATGGCGGTTGGGTCACGAAGGGTTTACAAGCGCGAAGCATAAGCAGGGGGGCGCACCGCAATGG